AATAGAATAGAATAGAATAGAATAGAATAGAATAGAATAGAATAGAAATTCTTTATTGGCCAAGTGTGATTGGACACACAAGGAATTTGTCTTGGTGTAAATACTCTCAGTATACATAAAGAAAAGGTACATTCATTAAGAATCAAGAATCATAATGTACAACACTTAATGATAGTCATAGGGTACAATCAACAATCAAATCATACTAAGGAACAGTCAATATAAATCGTAAGGATACAAGCGACAAGTTACAGTCCTACAAGCACAAGTGGGAGGGAATGGGTGATAAGGAGTGATGAGAAGATTAACACTAATAGTAGTGTACACTTTGTAAATAGTTGAATAATCAGAGGTAGTATTTGCCAGTTCTCCAAACTACTCAAAATTTCCGCTACCGGTTCTCCAGAACTGGTCAGAACCTGCCGAATACCACCAATGCTCCTTCCTTAACCCTTCCTAGAAGACCTGAATGAGATTCTGAAACTAATCAAAGATGTGTGCACTCTTAACATGGGTCAGTTACCTAGGTATAGCAGTTAAGGCATGTGAAATCATTCTCTCTGCTGATTTTAAAACAATCCAGTTAAAAACTGACGATTGCAGTCTAAGCCTTTTTTGGGCCATAGTCCATTTTGTCAAGAAGTCTAGAGTATAATTTATATATCCAGAGCATGTGAAGTCTACCCAGCTGTAGTGAGTGGGTGGAGAGAAGAGAAAAAGGGAAGGAAAGAAAAAAAGCGAAAAAAAGAGGAAGCCAAGACAGAATCATGATCTATTGTGACCAAATCAGCTATAAGGCGTGACATCAAGGATTGGAAGACCATCTGATGATTGGTCCTGCTTTTGATACTCCCATGGAGATCAGAAAGTTTGGCCTCTGCCTAAATTGGCAGACTATTCTTTTCTATGCAGAGTTTTGGCACCCTTAAAAAGAGATTGATTGAAATGGGCAGGATGAGGTCCCAAGAATGTCACTAACGGAACCAGTTCTAAAGCCAATAAATCCCCCAAATTCACAAGAGTGAGAAAATTCTTTGTTTTCCTTTTAGTCTCTTTCCTATGAACTAGTGAACTCACAGGCCTGTTCACAGATAATGGAGGATCGTGCAGGTGGATGTTTACATAGAGGTCTTCTGAACTTTTATCAATTGGGGAGGCAATCATTGCTATAGGAACCAGAGCAGTGTAGCTTAGTTCAGTATGTACTTTGTGCCTCTATTCTAGTCTCACATGGGCTCAGCTTCCCGAGCCCTGGGAAATAAACAGGAAAAAAAAAAGCAACGTAATTCAGAATTAACATATTTCTAATGGGAGTCTCCTGGCCCTACTACTTCGGTCCCACTTCTAAACTACCAACTGAGTACTCTTATCTCAAATGGCAAGTTTCACTATTTAGAAGTACTTATGTTGCCATAGCAATAGTTTCATGCGCTTTTCCCGGCAAGCAAGGATTTAAATTGCTTTGAACTTTGGATCTTTTTGTCAGCACGACTTAGCCTGGAATGAAAATCCTAACTCGCAGTATGAGAATTCGAAGGCAGTTCAACAAGACCTTTAATCTAGTCTGTAAGTTCTCAGCGGCGAGAAATCTTTGCGTTCTACTTTCTTATCTACCTTGCATTTTTTTTAAAAGCAAAAGTCCACACGCTTTTATTTCCTGCAAGTTCAGGTGATTCAGCCACCTACGTAGTAACATTCAGCACCAAGTGCTGTTAAGAACAGAGGGAAAAGTCACCAGAATTGATTCACTGTCAGGTATTACATCCAGATTTGCTGAGGGGGAAACCATGAAGTCCTAACTGAGAGGCAGTTACACTCCCAAATTACCTGAATCCGAATTAACGCTTGTTTGCCAGAGGAGCCTTTTAAAAGGATTGCTCCCTGGGGAAAACAGCCTTGTTTTGTTCTCGAGTCATATTTGAGACGCAAACAAGTCTTAGCCCCAAAGTGTAGCGAGCGATCTTGTGATGCCCTTTCTGACCAAATTTCCTGCCCAACCATATTTTTTTGCAAAAAATACCCAACGCGTTTGCTAAGCAGTGATTGGATGCATATTTTTGGAAATCTTAAAATGGCACAGATCTTGATACTCAAGCCAATATACTCAAGCTTTTTCATTGTTGCATTCTCATTTGCCCTAAAATTATAGTGGCGCAAAGTGTTGATGCTATTTGGAGCTTGCCACTTGGTCTTATTTCTAGTTAGGCATGTGGATAAATCTGAATAGAGTCTTTTTGGGGTTTCCTGAAATCTGCTTTCAGATCTTTGGAACCCGTTGCACAGTTAAAGCTTAATAATCGCCACTTTTTTTTTTTTTTTTTGCCTACTTGTGTTTTTCCATCCGGCACTTAGACTCACTTAGCGAGGGTGATAAATGCTGAATCAGCCAAAGAACCCATGTGATAGCTTAGAAAATGTTATAAAAATAATCTGTATTTTTATGGTCTTGATGCTTAAATGGAAGTAGGTAGGCCAAGTATTTTTCTCTCCCTCTAGAAACATCCGTTCAGCTCTGCGTCACAATATTTGTGTGGCTTTCATGGTTGTACGCTGCCTTTAAGTACACCTGGGGTAGAAAGGCAGGGGATAAATGAAAGGAATAAGGATATTTTGTCTTTTATTTCTGCTAGTCATAGAAAAGGAGTGAAATCCTAGCTAGCTTCCTCTGGCCTCTTTAGAATGTCAGCCATTATTTCCGACATATTTCCAAAACTACCTTTGCCTGCTAGCCGTAATAACTGTAAATGGTTCTTAGAGGCTGCTTTTTACCATTCACAAACTGCACTGGATGCTTGTGGTGTTCACACATACCAAGCTCTGAGGTTGCTGAACCAAGAATGCTGGCCTCCTCTCCACACACCCCTCCTCACAACAGTATGCCTCTATATTTGAGTTGATGGAGCCAGCTAGCAAATAAAAACTAGCTTGGAGGTTTAACAGGTGCCTCATCCACTTCCTGCCTCCCCGTGGTTTACTTTTGGCCTGAATTGGCAGCATGGTTTTTCAGTCTGCCCTTGGTTTGATTCTTGAAAGAATCGGACACCAGCAGTCTGTCCATGAACGAGATCTGTGCCACAATTTTTCAGGCTGGGCCTGTTTGCCTTGTCCTTCAGCTTAATGTAGCGGTTACCGGATTTCTTTTTTTTACTCCTGGATCTTTTTCTGGGTTGGGATGCTATTTTTGCAAAAGGAGCCTTGATTGCTTTTCCAGCCGCATTTTTGGGGGACTTCTTGTGTAGGATGACGTGCGTTAAGACAGAATCAGATGTTTGGATGTTTGGATAGTAAGAATATATAATTAGTAAGAGTGAGGATACTTTAGGAATATGTAGACCAGGTTTACACGTTTGGTTAATCATGATTTATTGACTAAATCATAGTTCACACAATTCGCTATGTTTCAAACTAACCACTCTTTTTGACTCCTGCAGTTATCTGAATCCAACCATTGTGTTTGGCAATTATATAATCCAGTGGATGCTTCTGTTTTTGTCTATTTCAGACTTCAAGCAGAAATTGTTTTTTTTCCTCTTCCCATTTGCTTTTAGAGCCTCCCAACAGTTTTTAAGTAAAACTGCTCTACTATAATATAGTTTTGAATGCTGTCTTAAGCATCTTATAGTTTATTTCCATAAATGTGCTATGGGTATGAAATACAGCAAATTGTATCTGATTGAGAACATCTAATGTTTTTTCTCGGTTTATTTGCCTGGATTTCCTAAAAAGAAGATATAATCATTTTAAATTTCTTATGCAAATCATTCTACTCACACTTTACAAACCTATGAATTTGTAAACCGATAGTAAAACTTGTTGCTTGGGAACGAAGGCTCTGATAATTCACCAACCTAGACAAACCTCCTTTATCTTTGGTGCTGGCTAAATACCATCATATTATATTACTATCCTTGTAATTGCCTAACAAAAATACAAAGCCAGCGATTTGATTACTAACATACAATTTCTTTTATACCCAGGTGATGAATTCTGCTTCCAATGAAGAAAATGCCACACAAAACACCCAACACCATGAGGAACAATAACACATCACCAAAAATAATGTACTATGATTTTTCTACTCAAATAATAGAGACTGGTTTAATTTTTAAACTGGAATGTTTCATACACTTTATTATGAAAAGAATCACCCTTTTTTACACTTGCACATATATTTTTGTGAAAAGTTTACTATTGATATTCTCAGAATTGTTAGAACATGTTATCTCTCGAGGTACCAAACCATATTCAATAAACCTGTGCCTTGCTTCAATTTAATTCAAGTTTGTGGCCTATGAGATAGATAGATAGATAGTATTTCTAATCAATGGTCCAAATTGCTCCTGGATCTCAGGCTTTCTACCTAAATCTTTATTTGAAGCATTTAGGAGCAGAATAATACAGACCAGAAGTGTCTTATCAGAGGTCCATAGGTTACTATGCAAATACGAGAAAATAACGATGGGCAACTAAAGAGTTACATCCCATGAGTGCAGTTCCCAGAAGTCCAGGTTGATGCCAATGTTCTGCAGCAAAACATATATTTGATTGCATCCAATGATTGTCCCCCAAAAGAGAAAAATGATGGCATTGAGGCCTTAACGTTTCCATTTTTTTAACCTTATCAAAACCTAAAAACACCCCAAACCTGAAATGTTCAGCCCGGCCCTTTCCATTTTATAGCAATGTTGTTGTCACAAATCTTTTGATCTTCAGTGTCTGAAAGAAAAAATATATATACAACCTGTGGCCTCAAAATAGGACTTCACCCGTATAATAATACAAGTTATAATGTATAACGCAGAGGGGTTGTGAAATCATAAAATGAGTAAGATGGACAGGGAATCCACTGAGAGCCCATTCACTCATTATTGTTATAATTAGGAGTTCCTGTACTTAATCCATTGTGAGCTAATGAATATTATTTTTTTAAAATACTTAAGATAAAAATGGGAAGAAATATACAAAATCCGGAAACTTAACTTTTCCTCTTTGAACATAAGCACAAATAATAAAAGGCTTAGTTTTCAAAATCAGAGGCTCATTTTTACTTCTCCCTAGCTGACCTTTTATTGTCATCACTGTAACACATCATTTCAATTTTTATTTCAACCTACGCCCTAACGCAAAGCTTTTACAGCAGTTGTCACAATACTAATAGAATAAATTCAGCTGTAGCATTTTGATTTGAAATAGATTTTCCCACTGTTAACATCTCTTGGAAGTGCTGATGAACAGAAGTTTAGTAACTTTGAGCACCAACATAGTTTTAAACCAAAGATACTTGGAGGAATGTGTAAAAGAAAAAAAATGGGAAAAAAGACTTGCCAATCCTTTAGTTCGGAGGTTATATAAGAATAACAGTGTAACATAAAACTTCCTCATTTGGTGCCTTCCATATATCATAGGACTGCAGCTACAGAATATTGTTAAGAATTCTGGGAATTGTATTCTACACATGTTTAAAAGCCATCAAGTTAGGAAAAGCTAGAGTAATTAGTAACATAGATCTTGTAGATCAACTGAAGAGACCGGAAGCTTTTGAAATAACTGTTCGTTTACGAGGTTTTCACTCAGGAGAAATAAACTTAATTTAAATGGAACTTCATTTAAGCTAATGAGAACAAGTCTAAAAAGCAATTTAAAAGCACTTGCTATTCTTTTTACTAGTGACTTTATTGACTTTATTTGTAAAGTCATGTCCACAAGACAAGGCAGATTCCTAAAGCAAGAATTTCCTCTAAATGTATGCATTATCTTATAGCAATTTAAAATATTGATTTTGTGTGGGTTTTTTATTTGAGGTGTGACACACCCATGAAAAAGGTTGTCTTCACGAGAACTTCCCTCCCACGCCCCCAGGTATAGGCAATGAAAAGTAGAATAGATTGTACCATAGCTACAATTCCTTAATCCATATATCAGATCCCAATAGATTCAGGGACTTCCCTGGACCAGGGAAGAGTTTCCATCCACTGTTGAGCAGAATACAGAAATGGAAAACAGCCTACGTTTTCTTGATGTACCACTGGGGTCTTCTGTATATGTTTTCTTGTAAGGGACAGGAGGCATATGGCTGGGATATTTCCTGTTTTCAGTCATAATTGATGAACCTTTATTTATTACCTGAGTCTTTTCTGTCAAAAGGCTTACTGATCATATGGGACACATTTAACACAATCAAGGCTGCAGAGCAGGGATCCAATTGGCAACTGACCATCAGGTTTACAGACCTAAGAAGCTTGAAACAATAAATACCAAGGTTTCTTATCCTGTCCCCAACATGATCCACCTTTCTTTTTTCTTTTATTCTTTTTAATTATTCTTTAGTCAACGTGAATTCAAACAGACTTCTCATTTTAACACTAGTTGTAATAAATCAAGGGAACCCAAAACTTACATTTGCATGAGGGACAGAAGAGAGATCTTTTTCTCTTAAAATGTTTTTTGATGAGAGGCAAGTTAAATTGTAGATAAAAGGTTAGTTTTAGTTTTAATTTTGCTGGGTTGGGAGAGTAAAAGATGGTTGGAAATGAATAGACTTTTTGAATTGATTTTGTCTATTTTTTTACATTATATTGTTTGCTACTTTGGAAATTTTAAAAAGTTCAACAAATTTAAGTCATAATGTCAAATTTAATTCTGTTTAATATCTACATTCATTGAATTACATTTGTAAGGGATAGAGTTGACAAATTATATAAAATTGTCCACTGAACATGCCTTTGCTTTTTTGAGAGAGTAGAATAAGCATGATTCAAATTATAAGAAATGTTCCAAGCTTCTCATTTTGAAATGTCAAATTAACAGTGTCTGTATGGACTATTTAACAATATTCTTTAAAATTGGGTGCTTTTAACTATTGGCTACTGAATAGCATGCTGGGAGCCACATTGGACATTTACTAAAAAGTGCTTAAAAATTCAGTTGTCCATTTTCATTTTAACAGCCTTAGTAACAAGAATAATATTAATCATAGTACTGCTAGAGCAATAACCCAGTTTGATAATCACCTTCGCTGCTTTATTTCTGAAACATTGTATATTTTTATTTTCTAAGATTATTATAATTTGGAAAAACATTTTGTATTAAATAAACTTTCAGCAATAATTTAAGTATTGTTTTATTTCCTGTCTGGTTTACACATATAGCCTTATTTGGCATAAATATGGCCATTATCATCT